TTTTTTTTTTTTTTTCGTGTTTATGGACCTTGACTCTGTTTTGGTCTAAAAACATGCAAAAGAAACTTGGCCAATATCCAGCCATCTTTACATCATGTCTGGTCAATAATCCACGTGCAATAATGTGGACTAAGTGGAGCACAATTCATGGCGTAAATACGTGAGTAATTTCAAATTTCAAGATGAAAAAAGTCTGTTAAGAACTTCCTTTGAGAAAAACTCAGTGGTGTTTTTTCCATAAGCTTTTAACACTAAGAAACATTACGAAGAAAGTGAATGGCATGGCATTACGGAATTGCGCCCATTGAAACACGTTGACTGAACATTCAAATTAGCTTCCAAAAACATTAACAGGGCATGCGTAACTAGATGCAGAGATGGTGAGAGATGTCAATCGTTAAAATCCCAAGTGTATATCAGTGTCAAAACCATTGTTCCTGAAATTTGCTTGTGAAACCTTGATCTATTCATTGTGTAACAATAGACGTAATTTAGTAGGAAGACCATCTTGATTTAACCACCATTGTTAAGAAATACATCGCTTAAATTTAATAAATGCAAGAGCTTTGCGAAAACAAGTCCATAATATTATCAATTGGACCGAACGAACAAACTTTTCAACTAGTCTAGAGATATTGACAAATGTGCTGATCAGTTCAAACCCACTGATCGCCAAATTAACAAACAACAGAAAGTGAAAACAAATGCAGACTTAATATCCTTTCTTCAAAAGCATTCAATACAAAATACCAGAAAAAAAAACTTACAATTTGCTTCTTCTTTACGCATTACTCCTTCTGTGAGATCCAGTTATTTACCAGACAGCGTGATAAAGACACACAGCTCTTGAAGCTACTTGGCAAACATGACGCCTTTTGGAAACTGTGGGGTTTATCGCAGATCTGACACAAACTCGCAGAGCCTCAGTTATTAAAATGCTTTATTCTCTGTTGTTTCTGTTAATTCTTAAAAGCAAAACGTTTTATTGTTTGTTTGGAGAATGCAGACTAGTTGTGTCGATCAACTGTGATGCCATATGCTTTCAGGGTTTGGATAGACTGGCCCAGATGGCCTCGATGTGATAATTGTTCTCAGCCGAGGACTGGTATTTACACGTTTAGTGAAATTACATGAGAGGTAAACAGATCCATGTGCTTTGTTCGCTTTTGCTTTTTTCATTCGATTGTTCGCCATCCTTGACAACCACTGCAGAAAAAATCCAATGCTCTCGCTTCACGCTTTACACGAACATCAAAACCAAAACAGCTCTTTAACCCTCTCTCCTAACAAACAACAAAGGACCATGTATATTTCCACACAGCTTGTGTTTATTTCCATGCGGCGGTCACTTGTGTCTTTTGTAGTGAAATATTTTTCGCATAGTTTTGCATAACTGATATTTGTTTCATTTATAGCTAGCATTGATCGAAATCAAGAACATTTTCACACTTTTTCATGATACCAATTGCTCCTATTGTCTCGAACAGACTGAGAGGAAAAATTATTTAACTCCCTTTTGGGAGTTCTGGTTTTGGAGTCAAAGGGAACCGAAAACGGCAGTAAAGCTTTATGGGTGCGGAAAGCATCTTGGGTACCCCACTTTTTTTTGGCTGACATGTTTCAATGGACGCTATTCCATAATGGGTATCCAGCTACAGGTATCCCCTATTATAAAATTTAGTTGTGACTGGATACCTGCAATTGGTTACCCAAGTGACTGCATGATGAATGACTAATTTTGTTATTGCTATGATAATCAAAATGATTTCTGAATTCTGATTGGTCAATGACACATGCACATTAAGGGTGCAGAGTACAAAACTGAGTAATTGTAGAGTGCAACATGAAAGTCTGAGTGGTCACTCGGACTTAATTTTAAATGTAGAATTATGATTGTATGTATTGTAGTTACTTTATGAGTCTTCTCATTGGCGTTATTTGTTCCCGCAGAATGAAACCCACCAATTTGAAAGGAACCCAGGTTTTCAAGACAGGACATGATGATGTCAACATTGAAACTCTGATTGGTAGGTATTATTAATAGGAAACATGTATTGTGTTTCTATTGAGTTATAGAAACACGAGTGGAAGTTTGGGAGAATGAGAAATGCTGTGGGAACACGAGCCACAGGCGAGTATTTCCACAGCTTTCTCGAGTTCTTCCAAACTTTCACACGTTAAATAATGTAAACTATTGTTAAGTGGCCCAATGGACACAGGTGTGCAAGAGATGCATGAATTATTTTCTGAGTAAAAGGCTGTCTGTAGGTGTAGGAACTGCAGAGCAGTGGTCTGGATAAAGATGGGGTGCATGTTTTCGGGTAGGGCTGTCATTAAGGTTTTAGTCACCTGTAACCTTGTTTTCCACACATGTAGCAAACTTGTTACCTGTGGGTGAACTCTATCAACAGCAGGCAATTTTACCTGTAGCATCAAGGGAAAATCAAGCATGCTCAGTTTTTTTTCTTTTGTATTAGTCATTGGATGCTTTTTTGCAGTCATTTTTGTGGATATGTGTACTGACACACAATAAATGAAACAAACAACTCTATTATACTTTGTATTAGGTAATATTTCTGCTTACCTGTTCAAAAATCATCAGTTCTAGTAAAGTGTCAAAGTGTGTAGATCAAACTCTTAGGCCAACTCGATCCATAAGATTATGTGAAATACCAGTGGACACAGAAATTTCAAATCCATTTTACCATTTCTCAATCGTGTCCCAACAACACTTCTTTGCAACGCTTCAGTCTATACATTGCTTTGGTATTTGATTTGTTACACTTCCATTGACATCGCTTTGCTTTGGTTGAAGTCCTCTAATGTCTCAGTATGCACCAGCCAATCTAAACAGTGATATATTAAAATGCTTGGTTTGGCTGAATTTTAAGGAAATTGGCCTATTCAAAAGAATGTGATATGGAAGCAAAAAAACACTCAGGTGCTCAGACAAAGGAGTCCTAGAAAATGTAAGGAATGCACATGGCAATCAGGGCTGTCATTAAGTTGTGTGTAACCTGCAGCCTTATCTCCACACCAGTAACAAATTTGTTACTTTCTGGGTGAATTGTATCAAGAACAGGCAAGTTCACCCATAACATCAAGGGCCCATCAAGCATGCTCAGTTGTAGCAGGTGTTATAAGTTAGGGTCCTTATTGATAGCCCTAGCAATGACAAAACTGAAGATGATGAACTTGTAAACGCTGATTTAGACATGGATAAAACAAAAGAAATACAGCTCAAGAAAAATATTAATTATGAATCAGAACCAGGAGCTTCAAGCATATGGTCTTGAAAAATTACGGAGAGGGGCCAAGAAGAGAACATTCAGTGTCTTAAAAATGCATTAAAGGCAGTTTCCCACAAACCTTTGGAAATGACTGACAGAATTAATGTGTGACAAAAACTATTTGCACCTCATAAGAAATTAACTTCCGGATCTTATATGTACATCTTCTTAATTTCAAGATGCTTATAGTCTGCATCAACACAAATTAACATTACTGAAAGACAAAGAAAAAGCAGCAAGTACTAGAATGATTAGGTAGCCTTTATCAACGAAATAATCCTGCAACATTATGCAGAGAATTGGTTCCTCACATAACCCTGAGAACAGATCCCAGTAAGGCATGGAACATCCCCATCATGGCATTAACCATCCCAGAAAACCCAAGGGGATTAGTGTTGTTTCTGACTGCAGTGTGGCAAGTTTGCTGGGACATCCCTTGTGGCATACCAAATGGCTGTTCATCCTTTTGTTGCTGTCTTTTCCCCAAGCTGTTACAACTACACCCTGTGACGAACATCAAATGATAACCAAGAAAAATATGGGAGTGCTGTTGCCAGTACAATGTGCCCCAACTCTTACATAGACGACTGCCTCTGGTCTGCCAGCAGAAAACCCAAAACCAAGGAACAAATCAAAGATTTGTTAAGATATTAAAACGTTGGATCAAAACTGTGAATAATGATGAGCTACCCATTGACCATGCTCTTGGTGTAATCAGTGGTGCATCAAATCCGACACCTTCAGATTTCACACGAAACTGCTTTCAATCATATCTTCAATCTGTCACCCTTTAGGATTCACTGCACCATTCACTCTGACTGCTAAGAAGTTGGTTCAAGACCTTCATACAGAACAGAAGCCAAGATGGGGTAGTGAACTTCCTGACTCCTAAAAAATGGCTAGGAAAAATTGTGAAATTAGTTCCCCTGGTTAGGTGAAGCTAATAGATGGAGAAATGAGGTCCAGACAGGTCCACAAATTTTCCAACATAAGGTCTGTAGGCCATGGCTCAGCCACATATTTACATGTTTCTGATGAAAACTTTTGCATACACTGTTCTTTTCTGATCGGGAGAGCATGCCTCGCATCATTCAAGAAAAGAAAGTCCCACACCATTTTCTGTTCACCTTGGCAAGATTATCAGGAAAGAACTCGACAAAAAACTTAACATCCAATATCCCACTGACTTAATTACTGTGCTGAAGTGCAACAGCAACAATAAGAAATGATTTCAATTAGGTATCATGGCCAGTCAAGTCCAAATGATTCATAACCTGGAAGATCTAAGTCAATGGAGATAAGTGGATACAAAAGAGAGTCCTGCCAGCAATGCCTCTCACAGATTAGATGCTAAAGTTACCAGGTTGCTTAAGCAAGTTGGCTATAAGTTTGGGCCTATGACAAGTGGCTTGTGGTTATTCACCTGACAGAGCTGTCAAATCGGAAATGCAACAGCTACTCGCTTCTCCACTGGAATCACGCATGTGTCTCGTTGAACCAACTAACCAAATTGCAGACAAACTGGAACGTTTGTCTTGAGACATGGAAATGTTTGCGCCAAATGTTATCGGCATACACAAGCAGTCTTAGGGTTTTTCTTGCAAGACACTTTACTCTCACAGTGCCCCTTACCACACAGGCATACTTAGTGAATTCAATGCTGGGGGGCTAACCCTGCAACAGACTAACATCCCTTCTAGGGGGTGGGGGGAGAGGAGAAATCCTCTCTAATATTAATGACATAATGCTTCCAAAACCAGCCAAAGCTGCTGTGTTTTGGATCACTTGGCCTGACACAGATTCTACCTTACCTTCATTGTCAAACCTCTCCCCTAGTAGGGTTGAAACTTTTTAATCTGGTCACTAAATGTTAATTGTGTAGTTTTCACAACTTAAGAAATTAAGGCTGTCATGAAGGTTATTAAAAACATTTCCTGTTTCCTGCTAGATAAAAAAACACAGAGAAGCAACATGTGCTGAGACTCAAGACGAGAGAGATTCACCATGAAACATCTGATACCACATTAAGTGAGTCACGATTTCTTTGTGTTTGGTTTCATGTACTAGGCATGACAGTGCACAATGCAGGTGGCAAATTTAAAACCTATAGAGATAATACTGTTTCACTGTTCAGCTATTCCAAGAAACTGTTGTTGTGTGGCAATACAATGTACTACACGTTAGCCCTTCAGGGGTAGGGTTCACAAAAATTCCTTGAAACTGCAATGCTTGTGGTACTGTTAATGACAAGTATGCTTTTGTGGGAGAAGGGACATAGTAATCTAATGTTAAGCACACTGGACTGCAGATCAAGAGGTCTGGGTTTGAGC